GACGAAAATCTGCGGAAATCGCCTTTTCTGCCTACAAAAAGCTGAGGGTTCCACATGACAAATAGTCGTGAATAATCACCGGCTAAAGTACTTCATCATCATCATCGTCATTTCAGCCCGGAAGACGTCTACTGCTAAACAAAAGCCTTCCTTAAAGATCTCCACGACGATCGGTCCTGCGCTGTTTGCATCCAACGCCTTCCAGCGATCTTGTCCAGATAGTCGGTCCACCTTGCTGGAGGCCTTCCCACGCTGCGCTAAAGCACTTACATTTAAAAATGCTAAAAGAATATATACGAGAAAATAGTCAACAAGTCGTTGAAATGTCTAAACGTGCGTCTGTAGACTTAGATGAAACTTAGACAAAGACTCAACTTTCATACATTACGTAAGGCCACTCTCCAGCGTCTCATACATAATATGTAATTATTGCATCACTATTATGAAATGAATTTGATTTGGTTATTGACATTAGGCATGTACCCAATGTGTAAATTATGAGTAACTAGCGATCCGGCTTCGCATTACAAATCTCTGAATTTCTCGGCTTATTATACGCATGTATTATACACATAAAACTTCGTCTTGAATCACTCTATCTATTGCTGAAAACTGCATTAGATTTGGTTGCGTAGTTTAAAAAATAAGCGAACAGACAACGGCCTCAACTTTGATTTATACCATGTAAAGATACAGTATAACGGCTAATGTAATAATGTTTTGTGAAAGAATATAATTTATGACATAACATGAATTTATCAAATAGCTGTTAATTTGAAATTACAAACGGATGTTTCAATTTTATTTATTTGTATAGATGGAGTAGTGATGTGACGATGTTGTCTATGTATATATATGTATACCTTTGCTAGGGCGATACTAATAATCCATTTCTGCTAATTCACGAGTGTATAGGAAAAGGGGGATATTATAGGATAGTAGTGTCAAATAAGCTGATTGTTGCACTGTACTAACGTAACTTGTAGTTGAATTTTCACGTTTCCTAGAATCCATCGAGATAAATCTAGCGTGTTTATCAGAACAGACTAACTGACCTAACTTCATCGTCATCCTATCATACGTCCCTAGTAATCCACGGATGTATACTATTAATGCAGGCAGACGCATGACACCCTTTAAAAAACTGACAGCACAGACAAAATAAGAGAATAAATCAAACATTCAAAATTATGCTATTTACACATTGTCTGCGTGAGACCGGAATTGGGCTGGGGGTCAGTGACCGATCATAGATGCTGGACAGCGGCTACGTTCACTTTCTCCAGTTGATTACAGTCCACTGCGCTCAGAGCTGAGGTGGCAGCCAAATGTGCTATCTATTTACTCATAGTTGTCGCCCTGCGGTCGAGATACGAATATTGTTAGGTTATGTGGAAGTGTGAATATCAGTTTTTTACCTTTTGATGCTCAGAGGGTTTCTTAATGTTCTTCAACACGTATCAGGGTCTATCGGATATGTTACCACATATTCAACGATTTACCACTCCGTTTAATTATATTTTTGAAAAGTCGGGCCGTAAGGTGAGGTGTTTTTTCACTGTCACAATAGGGCACAAAAAAATGCCTATCCACATTTTAAATGTTATATATTTAACTAGCTTATCGCCGCGACTTCGTCCGCGTAGAATTACTTTATTTTTCTAAAATAAAAGTAGCCTAAGTTACTCCTTATACATCAGCTACCTGCCAAAAAGTCCCGTCAACATAGGTCCAGCCATTTCATAGATTAGCAAACAGACAGAAAGAAATTGTAAAAAATGTTATTTTAGTGTATGTACCGTATTTATATTCATATGCATTTAGTAAAAAACGGTTATTTCAATATTACAAACAGACACTCCAATTTTATTTATATGTATAGATTAAGTAGTAGATGTAGTATATGTTTATATATAATATGTATTAGTGGGGGGAAGGGGATTCTTATTAATGTGGACTAATAATCCTATTGCAAAAAATGTACCATATCAGCTTAAACTTCATGTGGTTCCCCCTGATAAACGTCGTGATAAATTCATGGTGAATTTATCCAGGTGGGCTAACTGACCTGACCTCGTGCTCATCTCATCATTCTCCACTGGTGCCCTGCCAGCGTATACCGTTAGCACAGGCGGGTGCACCATACCATTATCACCCTATAAAAAAATACCAGGTTGTCTATAAGAGATTACTAATAGAGATAAGACCGCCTTTTGTCAAGTACTTTTAATATATTTTTATTTAATTACATTTGGGTCGCTTTGAATCCGGTACCATCGTGTAGATTAGCGTTATGTCTTACATATTTATTCATCATTGACCAACAGCTAATATTGTTAATTATCTTATATATATAAAATTCTCGTGTCATAATGTTAGTTACCATACTTCTCCGAAACGGATTGACCAATTTTTATGAAATTATATATATATATATTCAGTAGGTCTGAAAATCGGCTAAGTGGTAAGACTAATATTTCTTTTTGTTTTTTTTTATAATGTGGTATTAAAAAATACGTATAACCCAAAATTTTCACGCCTATTTTTTTAATAGCGAAAATGGTACTGAAATTTATATGTTAAAACAACATTTTTGGCTAATGGCAACACAAACCGCCGGGGGGAAAGGGATTGTTAGTAATTGGACTCTCGACCCCATTGCTTGCAATGTTTTTGACCTCCACGCGGCGAAACCCTCGTGATAAATTGCAGGTGAAATTATCACGATGTCAAAACTGACCTCATTCTCATCATCATCTTTGCCCCGCCAGCGTAAATCGTTAGCGCAGGCGGTTGCGCCATTCCATTATCATATACAAAAAAAACACAAACCGCCGGAGCCCAAAGGAGGAAAAAAACAACAACATTTGCCGGGTCAGCTAGTAACAGTCTAAATATCTATTATTTAGTATATATATATATATATATATATATATATGCATTTATAAACTAAATTTATTATAATACACCACACAAACAATTGGATTACAATAGTAAGATTTAACATTGTCAAAGCTTTATTGTTCTTTGTTTATATATATATGTGCAATAACGAGTAATTATTAATTTTAACGTATAATTAGTAAAAATCACGGGCCATGCAGTTGAAACACTGCCGAAATATCGACAACAAAATAAAAATAAAAAGTGGTAAGATCCCGTGATTTTTACTAATTGGCTATTTTCTGAAATATCTTTTATAATTTTTGTAGACTTGTTTTAAACCCCCTACAATTTTTTTTTTCAGAAAAGCTTATTTTGATATAGAAAACATGATTTTTTTATCTTCTGATTCTTTATATCATAAGCAATAAAATATATTTAATATTTTATTAAGTACGGACCGCGTTTAATTTAAAACGGTAAGTTAATTTTAAGTTTGAATGTTATTGAGATTCAGCTCTATTGCCAAAGGCCAATACATATGTGTTTATGTGTGTGTCATACATTTGTAATATCCTTCTCTAAGTAACATTGACGGCCGCGGTGGTTCAACTCTTTAGCACAGCGTCTTATTTGCGGTGGTCGTAATTTCGATGCCTCGCACAATGCAATTATAAATATTTGTATTAATGAGTGTGATTGCTTTTTTTTATTTTTTATTATTATTAACCACAGACACAAAGTCCGTGCTCTTGTTATGTTAATTTTTACATTTTTGTTTGACTTAAATTGATTTATTTAAGTAAATCTATTTTGGTCAATATAAGTAAAATCTAATATATAAAAATAAAATAATAATACAAATACAATTGTATGATTGCTTATATCGGTCTGGGTGTTTCCATGTATGAGATATTTTATATTTACTAGATAAATGTGTTTCCATCAATTATTTAGTATCCCCAGCTTTATAACACCAGCCACCCCATAACACCAGCTTTGCTTAACTTGGTGCTAGATGGCGCTATGTTAATGTGATCTTAAATTCCCCTATATATATATATATACAGGAGGAGATATATTTGTTACCACAATTAATGATCCAAATTGTATTAAATATAATTGTTTTATTTCTTTTTCTTTTAATTATTATGATAAGTTGTATAAGTCTTAAATCATATCTTATTCCAACCATACCTTGACTTTGCTACTAATCTTACGTAATATCCGGAGATAAATTGATCAGCTTTTCAAAAGCTGACCTCTCTACACATAGCTCTACCTTCGCCACGCAGTCTCTTCGTGTTTATTTCACTCAATACATTTTAAATTATGCACACTTCCTCACAGACAATACATCGATTTCATAACTTATATGTCACTTAACTTTTCTATTACTTACCTGTGACATTGATGGACAAAAATATTCATCCCCATATTATTAAATAATATAAATATCATCTCATATTTAACCCCTTTCAGGAATTTTTTTGGGATAAAAAATTTTTATACATTACACCCTGTTATACTTTATCTAAATATCAAATTTCTTTAAGATGAGTTGAGCCGTTTAGACGTGAAAAGACAACAAACAAAAGAGGCAAAAATTTAATTTTTATTCCTCAGTTATTATTTTCCAAAGACAAATTTATGATTTATAAATTATCAGTAACTCTACAATTATGTTTTTGCTCTATAGTGTAATGTCCGCCATTTTGTAATGATAATTAATTATTACAAAAAGGGCTAAAAAACGCACGATTGAAGGACTCAGGAATGACGGCGCGCGCCATCTTTCTCGTTCTTATTGTCTACATTTGCATGTACATTCTTTTCAGCGTGAAGCCTATTCGTGAAACAACGTACGTGTAAAGGCATACTATATAAAATATCTTTTTAATTAAAACAATTTGTATTTTATATTTCCTTTTTTTTCGGACTACTCTAATGCTGTTGGCCGTAGCTGGCCTTTACAGCTTCACCGGACGTATCAATTTGTATATGATGTACCTTCTTATATTACCGAGGGTGAAATCCTTTGCCACGGTTTCTTCACTGGAGGGAGGGGCTCGCTTCTATCAAAATTAGGGGGTATATTTTAATGTTTTTTGTTTGTTTCATTCGTATAGATCACAATCTTTATGTCTCCGTTCACAGATGTCGCTGTGCGCTTTAATTTCATCAGCAGTCGGCAGATGGCGATACATCACTGCAGAACCACGAAGATCTTTCGGCTTCCCACTATCAGTGCTGCCACCATTTTTACCGAATACTGCATCTTGCATCCTATGCACGTAAGGTGTAATTTTGCAAACCAATAATCTTATGCAACTGGTCTCTTCATCAGAACCTTGTCGTTTAATAATGTCGTCTATGTCGTACAGAATAGAGTCGTTTTTCGCAGCGGCGATCAACTCTTGCAGTCGTAAGGAGTTCTTGTTGAGTATCCAACTGGTGTCGTCAGATCGGAATGTTCCATGAGATCGTTGAGGTCCTGCGAAGAATGTTGAGATCTAGAAGCAGAAGAAAAAAAGAAATTAAATGTCAAGTATTTTCTAAGGTTCTCGGGGAAAGACAAGCAATCATTTCACAATTAGGTGGTCAGTTAAAGGCACGCTATTTTTTAAATACATTAATTCTGATCAAACTTATTGTTAGATCATGTGGTCTCTTCTCAAAATAAATTAGGTATCATTTGCACCCACAAGTATTATCACAGTATTATCTAAACAAATGAACTTCGGCTTCGGTGATGTGGCGGTTTAGCACACTGCCTTACTTCCGATGGTCGCGGGTTCGATTCCTTGCACCGTACAAACATTTGAATTTATAAGTATCAGTCTGAGTGTTTTCTATGTATATTATCTATTTACGAAAACAAATGTATCTAAGTATTATATCAGTTATCCAGTATCAATGACACAAGCTCTGCTTAGCTTGGGACTAGATGGCGCTGTGTAAATAGTTCAGGGTTGTTATTATTTTATTTATTTCTTTCTTTCAGGCTACTAGGCCCTTATTATAAATACCTTATAGACTAACATACATATGAAATAATATAAAATTAAGATGTTGTGATTGTCTGTGTGATCACGGCACTGACAGCGGCAGTCTGGGTAGCGCCGGTACACCACACCCTTCGGCCAGTAGTCCTCCTTCATGAAGGTGGGCAGCATGAACCCAAACGCCTTGAAACTCGCGTTGTGGCTCGACTCCAGCTGCGTCACCCTCAGTGTCAGGATACTCTTGGTACGGATATAATCGACAATGTCCTGTTCCTTAGTGGCGTAGACGAGACAGGTACATTGCCGTGTCATTATTATTAAATAGCCCATACCATGACTAATCCGAGTAGTTTAGAGAGAGTAAATATATCATTTATGAATGACGTCTTTGAATTATAACCCATGTGACTTGTATACGTACGATATATCATACTTTATAGTAATTTACTTATAAGGTAGAGCTTAGTAAGACTGGTCCTACGCAATTGTCTCCACTTTCCATAAGGCGGTCAGCATACTTACCATATTTATTAAATAAGTATATGTACGTGCTTGGGCTTATATTAAAGTGAAATTTGTCAAACAAAGGTTTTTTTCTGATATAGCATGAAAACCCGTGTATCCTTACTAATATTAAAAAGTAACTCTATCTGTCTGTCTGTCTCGCTTTCACGCCAAAACTACTGAACCGATTCAAATAAAATTTAGTATACAGAGTCTAGACCCTGAGAAAGGATACAGGCTACTTTTTAAGACGAAAAAGGACTATGTCTAGACTTTTTAGTGAGCATAACTACTCAATCCACTCGACCACGTCATAGCTACTTAATCAACTTGTATGGTCTGGGTTAAAAGAGGATTGTTAGTAATGTAGACTGATAATGGCAGTGCTAGCAATGTACCATATCAGGTTGACCTCCACGCGGCTCCTCCTGGAAACCATCGTGATAAATTACTGGTGTATTTGTCACGATGTGCTAACTGACCTGACCTCTTGCTCATCTTATCATCTTCCACTGGTACTCCGCCAGCGTAAACCGTTAACGCAGACAGGTGCACCATTCCATTATCATCCATAAAAAAAACCTCGGTACATAATTTACGTATGGTCTTACACTTACCATTTGTGCAACAAATACGAGAGCATTCACAGCAACTGCACCGATTTGGTTCGACTGAAGTCCCATCAGCTTCACTAAATATCGCAGCGGATTCACAGGACTTGGAGCCTCATTGACATGGTAATAAGGTTTATTTTCTTGCACGTCCTCATCACTGTTTTCGTTTACATTTATATTGTCATGGGACGGTCTTCTGTATGCTGGAGGAGGAGCTGGTCGGTTTCCTGTTTGGAACGCTTTTACAATCAAATCAGCTACTTTCAAAGCCAGAGATTCAGGACCTGTAATAGTGTATAAGGAGCCATAATTAAGTTAACGTCAATTAATCAACGATTTTGTGTAATAATGGAGTGGAACATTTGATTTGACGGCCTCGGAGGCCTAGCGCTTTAACACACCGCTTTACGTCCGATGGTCGCGGGTTCGATTTTCGAACAAACATTTGTATTCATGAATATGATTGTTTATGTCGGTCTGGGTGCTTTCTATGTATAATATGTAAGTATTTACGAAAATAAAACATCTATAAATTTGTATCAGTTGTCTAGTACTCATAACACAAACTTTAGTTAGCTTAACTTGGGACTAGATGGCGCTGTGTGAATTGTCTTGAGATTATTATTATTATTATTTGTATTTCTATAGCCCCTCTAATCATTCTTAGGACATAATATCGTTCTCCAGCTAAGTCTTTCGATTGCTATATGTAAATCCAGTGATTGGATTCCAAGCCCAAGATATGTACTGCTGTAGCAAATTTACACGAATTGAAAAATTGGGAACTCATTATTAATAAATAAAATGTGGTGAGATTCCGTGTTCATTGAAATTTTACGTCTAAATAATCGCGTCAAATATAAAGAAGTATTTTACGATATAATTCAAATTTCTAAAAAATATAGCCTGTAGAAGAGAATGCAGGTAATTTGGTAACACCAACCAACATTCTTATTTCATATTAGTCGTATTGTGCAACTCTACACTCGCTCCAATTTATTAATTGGTAGGTAATCTACGGCCAAAAGAATTAGTACAGTATAAAAAACTTATATATCTTTATCCTAGTAAGAAACATTGAACCTATGACCCTCATCTTGAAAGCGCCTACTTACTTAACAACCGGGTGCTCGTACATATAAGTGCACATAATTATTCACATAGATATCTATGTACGGATAAATGTATCTTCGTTTTTATTATACTGACATCTCATTAATAAGGGTAATTTATATTAATATAAAATACTTATATTTCTACCATCGCATTCTTTTCCATCATCCTTACACTCTATGTGGTAAGCGATAATGTAGATTTGCTAGTTTTTGAAGTGTCCTATGAAGTCCTTAATAGTTATATGGCAGCGTCCTGAGTTTTTAAAATATGCACGCCTCTTAATTACTGATTTTCAACAGTATGATTTTATCAATTACTTTCTACCAATTTAATTTCTTTCTAAACCCGATTATATTAATTACTTGAGTTTTACTACATATTAATATAACTATTGCAACACTATTACTGCGTTCTGTATTTAAACTGGATAGTCCTAGTTTTTAGAACTTTTAATCCTGTTTTTTTTATTTGGCAACCCTAGGATAATGCGCTTTCAGATGAGTTTCCTATCACACACGATGTTAGAATGAATTACCTGCCGACGCGTGACGTATTACCTGGTGATTACCGTATGGGATTTTTGAATAATTATATATTAAGGTTTTTAAGGGTCACAAGGGTAACATTTGAGGTGTTTCAGGCGTCATAGGTCAGAATTCTCGTAATCTCGTCGTTGTCTATGCCATAATCTACAGACGCCTGAAAGATCATCTTTTTACCACATTTATAATATTAGTAAGATTCCTTATTTATATTACGGCCTTAGTAAGATGCATTATTTATATCAACTATTACGGCCAATGCTTATCACAAGTTTATACAATGGTTTAATCCAGATGGTTGTCTGTTACTATTTCTTGTCTTCGACATACGAAGTGTTGTTGTATCTGTTGATATACGTCTGCTGCCAAGGTTTTGAAGTGTCTGGAATATGTATGGAGTATGGAGCGACGCGAGATGGCTCCATACCCACTTTGTGCAAGGCGAGCACTGCAATCCTATTTTCTTTCCATATTGAATTCCATATTGATATATAATGAACACGATAAAATATATGAAATGGCGCAAAATCGAAAGAAGTTTTTAAAATAATATACGTGTTCCAAATTCAAATTGATTAAAAAGTTGAAAAACGGTAAGTTTTTATGTAATAGTATTTATGGCCAGACCTATATATACACAAACCTATAATACAATTTATAGATACATTTCCTAATTTAAAGACAAGACAATTTTTTATCAATTAAAATTGTCCTGTATCGTAAGATTGTAAAGAGATTTCTCTGGTATAACTCTGGCTCCCAGTTCGATCGCATTTAAATTAACAACATAGCCATTTTTCGTTATACAACTTATTGTAGTAATCTTTAAATTCCCGTCTAAAATCATAAAAATCTATATAATTACACAATACTGACCTAACAAATCATTTGCGAATTTCATCCCATTTGTCAGCCGGTCCAAAAACCCTTCACTTCTATAATTTTCACTTCCCGTTACCACTTGCACAGCGAGGAAAAGGAAAAACACTAGTGCTGCCATCTTGAGGGTAGGAGCGATACTACGACGAGATGCAGCCTAAGTTACGCTTTGCTACTCATAGTAATGGCTGCGTGTGCGCAACTGTTCAGTAGAACATTCTTCAATCATAATTGTCTTGTTTATACAGAGTGTTCCTTAAACATAATAATAAAATCTAAAAATATAAAGTCAATCCCGAATAACTTATTCTATTAAAATTATTTGACAATTTCGTTTTTGATTTATTGAATAATTTCAGTAGATGGCGCTACTAGTTATTATATACATGCATTCCTTACATAGCTGGTTCTTCCTTATTACTATTATACTATTAACTATCAGCAAGTGAAAGTCCCGTAAAAATCGGTCTAGCTGTTTCCAGAGATACAACAAACAGACAGAAAGTATTTTTTTTAAAATAATTATTTTATGTAGGTATGTATCTTGTATACTCACACGCACATGCATTTAATAAAAAGTGTCAATTTGAAATTACAGAGTTTACAATTTTATTTATATGTATACATTACATATTTATATAATTATTTATGAGTGACTAGCAAATCAGTGCGTCTTACCACGGGTATAAGGCTACACGTAATTTACGTGTAGCCTTAACACATTATACTCTGTTGATGGATGAAAACCTCTTGAAAATACGTCCAGTAGTTTATGAGAATATCTCGAATATACAGACATACACTGCGAGTTGTTTTATAATATGCGTAGGCGATGGAACTGTCCTTCATTATGCGTTAATAGTTTAGGGGTGTTATCTATGTGTGAATATTGAAAAATCAGAATGAAATCAAGTTATTTAGCTTATATTCGTATTTGATTCATAGGGAATTAACGACTGTGATTTTTTGGGAGAGTACGTGAAGGTCGATCTCGCAGAGTATATTTCTAGCATTTCCAAGGTTTATTTGTGTTGAAACTTTTAATATTTATAAAGGAAAGAGAAGATTTAGGAAGGAAAGCAAAATACTTAAAGTACGGAGATTTATTGAAGAAGAGTCAAGAAGTGAAGCATAAACTAAATTGTACAAGAACGAAAGCATAAACTTAAATATAAATTTAACTATAGAATACAAATATATATTTTATTACAATAGTTACAATAATTTCTAACACTAGATACAATACAATTACTATTTTTGTAGCTCTGCGTTGGTGTTATAATAATTATAAAAATAGTGTGCAGAAATATAGTCTTATTAAACACAGCCTGTATAACAAAAATGCTATATACTTACACTAAAACAATAGACAAGGAAAACCCATTATAAAGCTTATTGCGTTTTCCAAAAATTTTGGTCACAATTTCTACTCGAAACTGGAGCAATGAAGATAAGTACCTAAATGTTACACTTAATTGATGTTATTTATACCTAACTTATTATCCAACCCAACTTCGCATATACATGTATTATACATATAAACCTTCCTTAACTCTTCCTCCTCATCACTTTATCTATTAATGAAAACTGCATTAAAATCCGTTGCGTAGTTTAAAAGATTTAAGTAAACAGATAAGATAAGCGACATCATTCTTTACTATATAAAGATTACCCCTCCGATCGATCCCCAGTCAAATTCAAACAGGGTTCGATATTACGACGGTCTGAGCCGAGATTCGAACCCCTATCGGGGCACTCAGACTAAAGTCTTATCTGTCAGGCGGGAGTTGGCCTTCAGCCGCTATATAAGTCCTTACGCGAGTTTGGAGTACCACCTTCACTCACCCCCTATCGTGCGGTGAAGCTGTAAATACTAGCTGGGGCCAACAGCATTAGAGTACCTAGTCAGAAAAAAAATGTAAAGATTATACTTATAGACTATATAGACAGCAGGTAAAACTTCGCATTTCGCCTTACCAATGATCTGAAAATCATTTATTTCATTAGGTGACTTCTCATTTCTTTTAAATAAATACCACATACGTATCGTCAAGAGATTTTATTTATAAAGAGTAAAAACTCTTTCTTGCACTAGATACAGAAAATATTTCAAATATGAATTCATACAAAAGGCGGACTTATCTCTAAGCAGATCTATCTCCGAGTAGAGAAAGTAGAGAAATGAAATAGTGGTATCTGTGATAATCTTATATTTTACTATACTTGAGAGCTAAGGAATTATTCGTGCATAACCTATATAGTACTATATCTGTTATATCTCAATCTTAGGCTTTTGAAGGGCGTATCACCCTTCAAAGAAAGCTGCTTTATTGCAAAAATAAGTGTTACAAAGATGATTAACAGTTGCATATTGTTTATTAAATTTGTGCAATTCATTCTGACTCGGTATCTGTACATACAGTGGTAGACGTTTTAGCATATTTATCTCTGTTTAATGCGCTACTCTGTTTGAATTGATTTTGGATTACGTTAATATTTTCATTTGCTTTGTAGAAGTTTCAGGAATAAAGTTTTCGTATGCAGTTTAGTATTTTATTATATAATAATAAATAACAACAGTAACAGATGAGTCTATCCCAGCAACTAATTGCCTCGGTATGCAACAGTGATTAGAGATTTAACTAGAATATCTTATAATACTTAGTACTCACCTACCTTTTAAAATGTGTCACATATTTTATAAATGAAGATTCACCGGCCCGTTCGAGACCGTTCGTTTGTCGCGCTCAGCGGACCACAATAATGGTACTCAACAACATCATCGTCATTGTCAGAGCCTGCGTTGTGTGGAGCAATCGTTTCAACATGTTGCAAGTCCTTATTCTCATTTACACACTTAAGGTCACTAGTGCCGACCTCGGCACTACAGACCTTCAATTCCTCAACGAGTTGCCATTGGAAAAACTCCTCGTCCTTAAGTCTTCTTTGCAAGAATTTGTCTCTGATACATATGAGAATGTCAGTACCACAACACCGTCGTATTCGGAGAGCTTCGGAGCACAGGCGATGGCTATACAAGCACCGCCAATAAAAAGGACAGACTACGAAGAAATGAGCAGTAAGAAAGGAAGTAAAATTAGCAAATTGTTTTCAATGTCGGTTACAACGTTAGCGTTTTTGGCGTTTGGAGGTTACTTGCTATGTTTGATCGTACAAGCGATAAGGGACAAAAAGAATTATGCGTCTACCACAGTGGCGCCTACAACGTTTTTCTTGAGCTCTGGAATTAAGAAACGGCCGCAGTTCGCTTCGTATGGAAGACGGAAGAGGGAGAACATAAGAGATACAGATTTGGAACAGTTGGATATTCCTCCTGAGCAACTCTTCGGTGCATTGGTGCAAATCTGCGAAGGTTACGCTAAGTGGAGTGAGCGGTATGCTAACTTGGATGTCCTTTAGATGTGTTTGTTTAAATGTCATGAGATTGTTCATTGTAGATTTTTATTTAAGATATAAATTATTCCAACCTATTTTGTCTAGTTACTATCATAGAATAATATTTAAATATCAGAATCATTATAGATGTGACTTAGAAGAGGTAACATGAGCGATATAGTCAAAGTGATCAAGAAGATTAGACTTCAAAACTCTTCTAGAACTCTATGGGTGTTAGTGACTTAGAAACATGTACTAAATTTTATGCCATTATATTAGAAAAATCTATGTTCATCAGTAGTGACGGTTTTTATAAAGACGATTATGATATATAAATGTTCCTAAGCTTTCCCTTTAATTAGATAATTCCTCGATTATATCTTGGTGTCTATCACAGAACAGTATGCAATGCCTATCAGTTCATAAATTCCTTTCAAGTTGTTTGTATATGTTTAACTTTTTGGCAAGAATAGTTCAAAGAACGTAAAATTTTCTTTTCGCGTGATTAAATCTTGAACCCATAAGTGGTCTGGGACAGACAGACTGCGGTTTAGAGGAGATTCCTGCCGCGTACGCTTAGATTGTGGAATGAAATCCTTGCCGAGGTTTTCTCGAGAGACTGCAGCATGGGGTTATCAAGAAGGATATATTAAGGTTTCTTAAGAGTCGCACCGCGCAAGTAACACCCTGTTGTCTCAGTAGTTCATAGGCTACGTTAGCCGTTTACCATCAGATAGGCCATATGTTTGTTTGCCACCATAGTAGTATAGAAATAATCTTAATGTGTCTATGTCGATTGTACCTTGAATTAAAAACTAAATAAAGTTCTCAAAGTTGTCAGATTTTGGTATGTTTTGATTGTCCAATCAGTACAGGTACATTTCAAGTTCTATTCAATAATATAATGTAAACATACATAATAAAAATTAAACTACATATTTTATTTACGTAATTATCTGACTTTACCACGAAGCCAATATACATAATATTATTAATATCGAGCGCCGAGGACCGCCTGTACAAAACAGTGTTTACATTAAAAGCAGGAAGCCAGATTGCCCCGCAATATACAATCAGTACCTAAACGTTTTCAAACTGTCAAATAATCACGCTAACACCTAATAATAGACGAATCTTATCTTTAAAGATTCTATTGTACATACCACTCATGCACGACTTTCCACTAATTGAATCTATTCAAAACTGAACCGTACAGCGTACTATTAAAGTTAAATTCACTATGGAATATTGGAGTTATTTATGATATTCTGATGCAGTATATGTAAGCAGTTTTGTTTGTAGGAGATGGGTAATGAGGCCTGCTGTATTTGGTCTGTCATCGGGCAATCTCTACTGTTTACGGCCCGGCTCCTACGCCCGCCGTTAGTGCAAATTAACCGTGTTACGTTACATTTTAAAATGAGCAATATATCCATAAGATATTCTTAATTTGAATTGAAATGTTGTTGATGAAGTGAACTTTGAATACGCTACAGGCAATAAACACGTGTTTAACGGTTATTTTTACAAAATGTCGATGAAATATTTATGTAACAAATACACGTGGTAATTAATCTTTTGAAACAATGCAGATTCATGATGTTGTTAAACTGATGTATATATCAGTCAATCAAGAATTATTGCTGATTTGTTATAGCTAATTGTAGCTATTTTATCAATTTCTATAATTGTGGCTCCCAGTCAGTATTTGTGCCATTACTAATCCCTATTTTCTTATAGCCAATTTTTTTACTGAAAATGCAGGTGACTAAACTTTTTAAATTTGTTAAATATCTTCCTAATATTTTTTCACTAGATAAACTCGAAAGTTTGCGAGTGTGTATATTTAGATGGATGGATGTTCGTTTCTATTACACGCAGAAACTACTGAATGAATTTCAATCAGAATAATACATATACATAAATTACACGCGTGTGAAACCGTGGGCAAGGCTAGTTTAAAATTATAACTCTTTAATTTATGTATAAATTAATTTATTTATTTAATATTTAACTATGAATGTTATATTTATTTATGTTTAATCAACAGCCTAAATATATATACGTTTTAAACTTCTAGCATTAAAAATGACTATACTTCCGTACAAACTGTCATCTCCCCATTCAAATCCTTACAAGGGTTGCTTTTTGCATTAATTAAAAAGTTAATATTCTTTCTCAAGGTCTGGGCTATCTGTGTAAAAAATTTCATTTAAATCGGTTCAGTAGTTTTGGCGTGAAAGCGAGACAGACAGACAGAGTTATTTTCGCTTTTGTAACATTAATAAAAATTGTAACTATTATTGTATCTATAATATTACATACCTACTAGTACTAATTTCATTTAAAACCTCTCACACATTCCATTATAATTTTAACTGTTAGTTAACTAACTGAAGGATTGGTTAACTAGAGTTTAACTGTTGGGTGTCGCTGCGGGTGGCGCTCGGTACACATGTCGCTCGATGACGTGTACATAACAACAACGCTTATGTGAAGTGGGAGGCTGCCATTATCTGATATTCCTCGAGTTCGCAGTCTACATTGATGACTTTTTATTGCTATACTAGTAGACCACACCAGCTTCGCTCGCGTTTTCACAACTTTGTAAGTTGTATATTTTTATAGCACACCTATTGTTAAATAATTGTAACTGTACATTTTTACAGACCCTAAATTTGTCAATAACTTCACCTCAGTAGTGAGCAGTAGACAATGTAAAAATAAATTTCCTGATTAAAATCTGAAATTACCTTTAAAATTATAACGCATTAGGTCTAATTTTATAAAAATTGTTCTCAGGATCCTGTTTTGCAACCCACCCTCGAAACCGTAGCTGATGTCACTAGGCTTTATATAGTCGCTAAAACCTATGGGTTTCTCCACAGGGTATAACAGAAAATTTTTTGATAATTTTTATACTACTAAGTTGGCAAACAAACATACGGCCCATCTGATGGTAAATAGTTGCCGTAGTCTATGGACGCCTGAAACACCAGGGGCGTTACGCGTGCCTTGTCAACTCTTAAGAAATCTTCATACATCCTTCTGGAAAAACCCCATGCTGTAGTCTCGTGAGCCTCGGTAAGTAGTTCATTACACAATGTAAGTGTACGCGGGAGGAAGATCCTCTGGTTTAGAAACAATTGCCAATCGATAAGTTAATTTTAATATCTAGGCAGTTTAATCACCAGCGACTCCAGATGTACCACAGATATTACAACAAGAATAGCCATGGCAAAAAAAGCATTTAACAACAAAAATTACCTTTTACGCGCTAAAATATCAAAGATCTCACGGAAACGATTTATTAAAACCTATATCTGGAGTTTAGCCTTGTATGTGTGTGAGACGTGGACATTAAATCAAAAGGAAAGAAGCAAACTGGAGGCTTTTGAAATGTGGTGTTGGAGAAGGATGGAAAGAATTAGCTGGAAGGATAAAGTAAGAAACGAAGAAGGGTAAAAGAAAAAAGGAAGATGTTGAACACATGCGGCACGATGATTTCATGAAAATTATTATTGAGGGGAAAATAGAAGGAAAGAGGGCGAGGGGAAGACCAAGGAATAGCTACATCAAACAAATTGAGGACAAAATGGGAGTCGTGTCGTATCAAGAATTAAAGAGCATGATGGAAGATCGTGGTAAGTGGCAAGAGTTCCACCGACAAGCGCATAAGCTCTTAAATTATGAATGAATGAAGTTAATTTTATTACTGAGTCTCGATTTATTCCCGCTAATGTGGCCAAATGGAATAGCACAATAACGGGTGTTAGGTTAAAGGTTTACTGCGAGGTGCCTATATCCTAAATTGAATTCGTCTCGATAGGATCGTAAAAGGACGCCTCGAAAACATGCACGATCGATTCTCAATATGGAGACACTTCACGGGGCCGTAAAACAAAAAATGAGCAGGCACTCGGTTTGATTTTATGTGATGGGTCCTCGTAGTATAGTAGTAAAGTGGGAACGAATTGCACAATATTATAAGATAGAAACCCACCTCTGATTCGCGCGGGTGATCTGTGCATGGGATTGATGTTATATAATTATTAAAATGATAATAATCTTTTAGTGTATGTACCGTATTTATATTCATATGCATGTAGTAGAACGGTTATTTCAATATTACAAACAAACACTCCAATTTTATTTCTATGTATAGTGAATACAAATAAAAAAAATAAGATAGATACATATTTATATTTTCGGAAAAAAATATAGCTTAAAATTCAGATGACACTACCTCAGATCTAAGATGGGCTACTCCATGTAAAAAAATCCTGACATAATTTATCTTTTACTTGCTTTTGCCGTAATTGCTGTGGAGTACCACCACTTCACAAAGGTTGAGGTCTGGAATGCTACAACATCTAAAAATACAGATTAAGTGCCGATCAACCTCTAATTTACGTAATCGATAAACTATCAAATGCCTAAGTACGGAAATCAAATTGTCATTCAATTAATTCGATGAAATATATATTCTAGAATTACCTTTTTAGGGCTGTCAAATGTCTATAGTATTTTTTATTAACCAGATAAAGCTTAACTCAAAATATCTTGCATCAAAGTTTACTTTTTAAACTTTATCATTTTTTTCGGATTACTCTAATGCTGTTGGCCGCAGCTGGCCTTTACAGTTTCACCGGACGTTAGGGGCCGAGTGCAGATGGCACTCCAAATCCGCGGAAGGACTTATGGAGCGGCTGAAGGCCAACTCCCGCCTGACAGATACGACTTTAGTCTGAGGGCACCACTAGAGGTTCGAACCTCGGCTCAGGCCGTCGTAATTTTGTTCGTTCGTAAGGTCCGTTTGAACTGGACTGAACTGTTCGATCAAAGGGGATTAACTTTTAACAATTGTGAAGTGGTGGTACTCCACAGCAATTACGGTAAAAGCAAGTAAAAGATAAATTATGTCAGGATTTTTTTACATGGAGTAGCCCATCTTTAGGTATACCTCTCCAATTTGTTTTCACGTGGCACGACTCGTGGCCTGCCAGGCCTATAAAGTGTTGTTA